TATTCTGGTTTTACTCACAAATGATTCATCCTGTGGATTTTCCGTTAATTTGGAGTAATATTTATATCTATGATAAATTGCAGCAATGTCTTCATTGTTATCATTGATATTACTAAGGCTTGGAACATGTGAAAATGGTCGGCGTTGTCCAGAACTGAAACAAAAAGAAAAAATAACTTTTAATTATTAAACAGATTGCCAAACAGTTTAATAATTTTATTAATAAAATAAAATGTCATAATGAAATGATTCACAACTTAGACTACAATAATTTGAACTATTTATTCAATTTTCCTTTTTATTATTCCATAGGTCACAATCTCTTGCATAGCACTACAAATTACCCAGAATACTCTTTTTTTTCTCATTGAACATGAGTTGTCTCTAAAACTTTTTACTTAACATGGCTTAACATTTTGAATTTGACTAAATTGCTAAAAGGTTTTTTTAAATACATGTACCCGGTATATGTTTTGCCATGTGACCAGAATTCCAAATTAGTAATTAATACTTTTAAATTAACCAAAAAAAGTTATGTAGAGTTATTTGTTCAATCTTATATGTATTTTTATAATCCTGGTGAAATAAATTTGACTCCACTCCAAGTACTTGCCCTCATCACCTGGTAGCTAACATGGAGATTTCTTTGTTTCATCAAAAACACAACCAGGTACTGAGGATATTCTCCAGTTATATGAGAATAAGTTAGGTTGACTGTTGACATAAATCACTACAACTCTAGCAAAATATCAAACAATTGAGCAATATAGAAAAGAAAAGAAAAACATTTAGAAAAAAAATGTTTTTACATGAAACATATATCCAAAGACAGCTGTGTAATACCGGTAGTGACAATTACCAAACTTTTATCAAGCAATATATGATAGTACAAGCTAGGGAGAATTGTGGGTAATCACTGGCACTGTGACACACACGTTGATTTTAAAAATGCATTAACCAGAAGCACTTCTTTTGTGCTTAATGTTGAGATTTAAAGATCCTGAAATTGGTGAAAATTTACAATATTTGTTTTAATTCCAATTGGTTAGCTGCAATGCATAACCCACCAGCCAATCAGAAACCATGTATGTTTATAAACAGGTGTGCATTAACCAGAAGTGCTTTTTTTGTGCTTAATGTTGAGATTTAAAGGGTCCTGAAATTGGTGAAAATTTACAATATTTGTTTAATTTAAGACTTCAAAATTCAACTGAATAAATGACTGTACCTTGGGCTATAAGTATTTTGTGAATCAATCAAGTAATTCTTCTTTGGACTTGAATACCTGCAATAAAAATAGATTTACTTGTCTATATGCCTATATCTGTCTATGTATTAATCTTATGGTCAATCTGGGATTTTAGACTATAGATGTCAAGTTTATTTGAACTGACTTCCAACATTTCTATGACCTTTTGGTATGACCTGGTCAATTTGATAAAGGTGTTATTTGCATGATGAAACAGCTGCTCACAGATGTTTCTATTGCAATGTTAAATTTTATAAACGTCTAAGGAAATACTGTAAATGTGTTAAAGGGTGGTAGTCCTCAGTTGGTAATTACAGGTGATTGGAAGGTATCGAAGGAGTCACCAACGGTAATTAGTGCAAGTCACGCCCAGATCAAACCTTATATGATTTCAATTAGAAGAGCACATTGGATTGTGGGAAAATCAATGTTTATCAACACAAATATAGCATATGTGCAAAGCGACGACCGCCGCCGTTTAACTATACTACCGGTATTTTCGCTGAAATTCGTTAGTTAAAGTAAAATTCGCTTATGCCAGGTTTTTGAATTTAAACCCAGTTAAATTGCTAAAAACATCATCTCAAATGCCAGTGAAAATAATTGGTTTTACAATACAAGGGAAAGCACAAATGTATGTCTTAAATTATTCTTAATTAAACCGAAATATTTATAAATTCAAATTATCAGTATCTGCAGTTCTTATAGCATAGAAAGCATACAAAATGCCTACAGTCAATGATGTCACACTTTACCCACAATCCTTTGCTGGAGAATCAAGATGGTGACTACATAATACTGATGAAAAGTTGAATATCTAGAGAATGAAAAGTGATATAAAAAAAACTGTAAATTGCATTCTTCTACATTTGTAGAGCTCTTTCCTTGGGAGGCATTATGTTGTTTGGCTTGACTTCCCCTTTAAATAAATGCAGTCTATGTGCCCTGTATGCTGGGCAATTCATAACAAATCGTTTATTTGTATTTTTATTTAAACTGCAATCTGTTTTTCAAATAATTTATTTAAATTCTTTTGAACTTCACTCATGCATGTTGTAACTTTTTGCTCTTGTTGTTTTTATTAACTATGTAAGCATCTTTCAATAATGTATTTGATGAATTACTGAATTTATTAAATTAATTAATTGTTTTTAATAGAACAGATTGCCATTTTTGCTGTGTGTTTAAAGATGCCAAGTACAAATCTGCAGAACAAAGACATGGACATCCTAAATTGTCGAACATCACTGCTATATTCAATAACTGATCTCATACAATTATCAAAAAGAATATTTTAGAATTGTTAAGCACTTTAGGTTATAAATATGCATGGTTTCAGCCCAAAACAAATAAGATCTGTGCATTGTCTCAGGGGCATTCATGGATTAAGTTTTATTAAAATCTGTGTGTTTCTGAGATGCATAGTGGAAAAGCTGTTATGCAAATTAGGTAATTAATAGGCAGGGATTTCAAGCAAAAGCTAATCAAGTCTGTCCTTTGTTCCAGGCCATACATGTAACAAGTTTCATTGAAACGGCAAATTATCTTGAAAACAATGGTGGAACAGACATACATTGATTCTCATGACATTTTCAGAAACGGTTGCTCATAAAAACAAGTACCATGCAGATTGGTTGTGATTTGGATCTTGTTGTCATAGAAACAAGAATGTTTTTAATGACTATTCATTGTCTGATAAGAGTTTTATGGATTTATTTAGGTTAATCTTTAAAAAATTAACTTCGCGATTATATTTTTGAGCTGAATCTAGCTGTTAAGCCAGCAACCAGTATCTTATTCACATCAGTATAAGCAGGTAGCTGTAAAAATCTCATTACAGCTCCCTGGTATAAGTAACAGAAGGCGATATATTCATGGGAATATAAAAACAAATATATTATTGATTTTTTTACCACAAAAAACAGAATAAAATGTTTAATCTGCAAAGCTTGATGGGATACTTTATGGTCTCTGCTGTACACACATCACAATAAAAGGCATATACTAGCAGTCTCACAGTTGAGATAGCTCTGCTGTTAGCAATAAACATTTTGCAAGGAATCTGTGCCACAGTATATGAAGAGGCATATGCATGAAGATATGAATTGGATGTATGGGATATTTATATAAAAATCAAAATTAACACTACAGGAATTCACGCACATGAACATGAACCAACTGCACCAAGAGATAGACAATCAATACAGCATGCATTGTACTCGTGTGTGAAACATTTGACTGCTACTTTTTTTTTTTTAAATAAATGCTGAAATTATGTTCATCAAAAATTAAAGATATAATCTTGAATGGAACTAATCAAAGAGAGATCAATCCAAGGTACTTATTTGTCCAATATCAAAGCAATCAAACTTGCAGTTTTTAACAAAAAGTCAAAAATATCACTTTTTACCAAAACTTTACTGTTTTGCAACAATCATGATGAAATTCTTTTATACGGGTGCACACTGGTTGTTTTTACACACATATAAAAAAAAAATATTAAAGAATATATATATAATAATTATCTTTATTGCGTTCGTATCCCTATTAGGATTTTGACTAAAATGCAATACAGATGTGAATAAAGACAAACAAACAATTAAAGTGAGAATAACAATACACACAGGAAAATAAAAAAAAAAGCAAATACAAGCAAAAGTCAAGCAAATAAAAGTAGGGGAAAAAATAATGGTAAAGTAAATTGGATTGTTTTCCATATTTGTTTTGGTGAATGTTTGGATTACTAATGCATGTACATGACCTTATCTAGAGATAGCTGACTATATTGTTTTCAGTTTTTCTTCTCTTGTTTTAAAACAGTTCTCTATGTGTTTTGCTATTTGTATTATTGTTTTCTCATCTTTATTATTTAGAATATATTCATATATTATAACTGTGACCCAGAAAAATCAAATAGTTGTGACAGAGATCGGATGTGGGTAGTACATTATACTATCGGACACTGAACAGATACAATCAGCAAACAGATATAGTATACACTCAAAACAACAGTGTAACTTTACAGTCTAGCACACGTGGACATAAACGGAACTGTTATTTAACGTGATGCCAGTAATACCCATAACAAGACGTTTCGTTGAAAAAATGTCATTAAACACAAGAAAAGAAATTTAGAAACAAATTGAACAATCCAGTTATAGTTATAAAGTATATTTAAGAGACGAGAGACCCCTCCCCCCGCCATCTCTGTCGTCGCGGCTCATCATTTAGTAATACTTACGTCTTGTCTGTGTTAATGCTGCAGTTTCCCAGTGCTTTCGATAGCAGTGGCTTTGACTCGTTCCTCGTTATATTTC